AGGGATTCTTACTTGGGTCTCCCACCGACCCGGTGTCTTCGGTAGTACGGGCCCAATACTACCGACCACACCGTATCAGCATTCGTCCCAAATCTTCCTCCCCAAACCCGAAAAGTGAGTACTCTACTTTTGATATGCACTATCTACCTGCACGCTATCAAATATCTCATATCGGCAAACTCCCTAGACTAAGGCATCACAAATCAGGCCACTCTAGTCCTATCATGAATACCTAGTCTTCTAGCATGCATAACAATTCATAATTCATTGCATAACATAACATTGTAAGGTATTCTGGGGATCTTTACCGTTCGGGCGCTGGCTGATCGTACACACTGCTTGTTTCTTGTTTACCACATGATCATTTGTAAAAGTTTACGCCTTTATTTTTTTTTTATTTTTTTTTATTTTTTTTATTTTTTTTTAAATTTTCCTCGAATCCTCGGTTTGAGTTCAGTTACACCCGAAGGTACACCCGAATCCCTCAAACCAAGGCTCTGATACCAATTGTAACAACGCAAATTTTCAAACAAATTTTCCATTGCAAATAAAGTGACTTTATTCAAATTAAATATAATTATTCCAAGTTTTAGGTCAAAATATAATCATAAAATCCCCAAGATCTCAAAATATCGAACAGTGTGTACGCATCACGCCGGCGCCTTCCCACGGTCCTCGCTAGTACCTGAAACACATACATAACAACTATAAGCATAAATGCTTAGTGAGTTCCCCAGTATACTACTTACACATATACACGCTTTCCAGGCCCTGACCTTCCGGTCCACAACACAACGCTTCCGGCCCGTAACATAATCGCCTTCCGGCCCATAACATATTCGCCTTCCGGCCCATAACATATTGCCTTCCGGCCCATAAAACATACACATCACATATAATAATTAACTTACCACATATAGCACATATATCACATATCATATCCGACCTTCCGGTCACACAGTCAAACCCTTCCGGGTACAGTATAGTGAGAAGACTCACCTCGTGAATATCGAAAGTAGCAACTCCTGAAATCACTCGTACTCGATCCGTTGAGCTATAGACTCCCTATAATATCATATATCCCTTATTAACACTTTTATCATTCAAGACAACTGCCCCTAAGAAATCACATGTAGGTCAACTCTGGTCAACGGTCAACGGTCAACTTGACCGGACTCGGTGAGTCTAGACGTCTTCACCAATTCCCTGATGTTCCCTTTCTACTCGTCAGTATCCTTCTTGAATCGACGAGTTCCTCGTGGAAGAATCGCGGGGCCACCCCGACTCCACTCGCCGAGTCTGAAGAACAGCTCGACGAGTCCCAGTTATTCTCCAAGCTACTCGTCGAGTCTGTTCATTGGACTCGGCGAGTCCATGCCATGCAGTCGATCAAACTACTTCCTAAGATCAGTATTGTCCCGACCATTCATAGATCTGGTCCTCCTAAGCTGGTCCATCACGTAAGGCCTTCATTTAGGTGCTCATGCTACACCCCAAGACTTATAATTTACATTTTGACTTAAGGCATAAGGATTCCAATCCAAAACCTCTCTTAATTCCCGAAATGCACAGGCATGGGACATTCTGGACCTCTAAAGGTCCCAGTATAGGGTTCCAATCGTTTGGGGACTAAGGTACATTCAATCTAGCCACCAAAAGGGTTCCATAAACCCTAAATCCATATACACATCAACATGGAAGAGTGTAATTCGATTTATTACCTGAATAATGTGTTCTCTGCGTCCCCAAACCTCAGAACGTGATTCTCTTGCTGTTCCTTTAGCAAATCCCTTCTCTTCCTTGCACAACAACTCTTCCAAACTCAATAATGATCTTCAATCCTTGCTCCAGATGCACACAATCGGTTTAGGGTTCTTCTCAGTAGGCTAAAACGGACAATGACGGCCTATAAGTCCATTTTATACATTCCAAAACCAAACGGCTAGGGTTTCCGCTGAACAGCGCAGACTCGCCGAGTCCATATCTGGACTCGTCGAGTCCAGTCGCGAACCCGCGACCAAGTCTGTGGTCCTACTCGGCGTGTCTGGCTCCAACTCGCCGAGTCCCCTCTTAAAACACCCCAAAAACATAATTATAACAATACCTGAAATTCCGGGCTGTTACAATTATTTTAAGTATTGCAAGTTAGCAATATTAATTATTGAAAACAAAGATTCACTTGGCGAAGTTGCAGGGGTTGAAAAGTTGTTTTGCTATAATTAAGGGAGAGAATATTATACTTTGTTTCGAAATCTAAAAGCTTAGATCGAGAAATGTTACCAAAATTTAGTCAAGGACACAGCACGTTCTCAAATTCGATTATGATTACGGCATCCCTCTTCATAGTTCGAATTGTGAGAACATGGCCAACAAAATATTATGGCAGAAGACTGATAAAGTATCATCTCTTTATGTGAGACATACATTATGTAGTGAGGAGATAAAAACCTTTATGATCGAATAGATCTTTGAAATAGGTATATAAAGAATATAAAGCATTACTCAAGAATGGATTTGAATATGTTGAATGATTAAACTTTCAATCCTCAGCAGAGCTCGATGAAGAACTTCCACTGTAGAGGATTCTGGGGTTACAAAAAGATAACTTCTATAATTACACTGTAAAACCCTAATCAATCGGTTACGTAAAAGATGCATGCAAGCACCTATAAATACACAAACCCTAGAAAATAAGATACGGATGGACAGGCCCATACCACACAAAGAATGGACTAGGAAGCAAGCCCAAGACGCAACACCAATAACCCAACAATCTCCCCCTTTGCGTCAATTGAGGCGAGATTTCACTCCAGCTTGCTTGCCCCCGCAGCACTGGCTTTCTTGACTGTCTTGAACAGGCAGGGGATGATGGCAAGAAGTGTCTGACGGAAGTGAATGTACCAGTTTATCATATCATTGAATTACTTTTTGTCACTATCCGTGTTCTGCTTGCAACGATTGATTATACCCAGAACATGCTATAGACAAGTAGTCGTGTAAAGATGTTTGCCAGCCAAAGCAAATAGGCATTTCTGGCCTTCTGCTCTAGTGAACATGACTGAGTTCTGTTTCGGGTCAATCTTTCCCATCTTCATTCGGTTTATGTCGCTAGCAGAACCCACTGGAGTGATGATGGCTTCTTCCTCAGGATATTAGCAATCTCTTGATCAAGCATAGCCACCTCCAAAATATAGAAAACTAACATCTCTTGAAATGGTTTATGACCG